TATATAACATGGTAAATGCACTACATAATATAATAAATGCACCACATAACAAGTTAAATGCACTACATAATATAATAAATGCACCACATAACAAGGTAAATGCACTATATAACATGGTAAATGCACTATATAACATAACTTAAGATAGCTGTGGCTTTCCATACAATACACAAACAAACATCATCCAGTCAGATTGAGAATTGCTTATTCACTGTAGCGTTGCTCAAATGGGAAACAATTGTTTGATTTTAACGACGCTCAATTGCAGTGCACACGTACCATTGAGACAGAATATTAACAAAACAAAACTATGACTAGAGCACACGGCAATTTTAATTTATTTATGGTGTAATTTTTAGTGTCACGTGCACAATCACATAATTCATAACCATTTTAGGCATGTTATGTCCAATACAATAGATGTAATCACAATTTTCTAGACATGTGTGCAAGACATTAAACATATGGATGAGAACATGCACTATAAACACTTAGTGTAGCACACATTTGAGTGGATGTTCGATAAGACAATATAGTTTCTAATACGCATGCGCACCGATTGTATTTGTACGTCCAATATGATTGTTTTTGTACGTCTTGGGTTTTTACGCGACATTTTCGGTTTTTGATAAGCAGTATAACTTGTTATACAGTATGGAATATCGAACAACAATATTGACAATATGCTTTTGTCAAAGTCATTCAACAAGCTATAAATACAAACTTGCCCTGTAGTAGTGACAGCAGAGGCGGCGGCAGTGTTTTTTATGTGAATGTCATTTTATGTGAATGAATGTCAACGCGACCTTTCTTGGGGGTACGGGGCATGCTCCACCGGTAAAATTTTGAAATCTAGACCCTCTGAAACGCTGTTTCCTGCATTTTGGGAAGCAAATTTTGATGGTAAACTTAGGTATATTTCTCTTACGTTGGACCGCACGGTGTGCATTTCTACCGACATCTGTGGTGGATTTTAGTGACAAATATAGATGAGTGTTTTACCTTATTTTATCGCCCCCACGACCTATTTTTTTTGTGGGGCGACCGCCCCCACTGCCTCTACGGTGCCGCCGCCACGGAGTGACAGTCGCAACTGCAGAGCGTGGAATTCACTTTCATTTGTCAACGAACTAGTTTCTAGTTTTTTTTTTAAATGGGGTAGGATTCCTTAATGTGCATATGTATACACCATTACTTTGAGTGATGAGAATATGAATGATGTGGTACAGTACTGCAAAGTAATGGAGGTAACTGAAATGCGACATGGGTGTCGGCATTCATGCTGATAGCTGCTGCGTTACTCTGCATATCCATTTAAATACATAGCTCGGGCTTAGTAGCATTTTTACCATTCCTGGAAATTTGCATTGTCGGAAAAAAATAATCGCATACCATCACTTGTTATTTGTAACCTATAAATATACTGTGTAATCACTTATTAATATATTTATGAGACGGAACCCTCCGAGATATGTACAGAAGCAAGTCATTTCATTCCGTATTTTGTGGTGTTATACTCTCTCTCCTCGTATCCTTGGTGCGATGTCAAACCCAGTTAACAACCAGAACACGCCATTCAATCCACCAGATGGAGGTTACGGATGGGTTATTGTGTTCGCTGTTTTCCTGAATAGTGTTGTTTTTGGAGGTTTCGTTCATTCATCTGGCGTGCTTTATGTAGCATTATTAGAGACGTTTAATGCTTCCAAAGCGGAAACAGGTAGTATATATAATACTATATAAAAATGCTTTGAGTGTACCATAGTTCGCTTACGCAGGGTGCATAGCTATGCATCGGCTCCCTGGTTATATCACTTGTCTTACTCATAGAACGCAACTCTATATAGGGTTGCTATTTAATTGTATTTTAATTAAATAACCTGTAACAAAAAAACATTATACAAATTGTAACGCACATACACACACACACGCACTCACACGCAAATCTAACCTTGATAACAATAGGATATAGAATATTTATAACAAATGTATCAGAATATTTAAAACAAATGTATTTTCAAAGGTAACGATAACATGTTGTTAATTCAACAGTCTCAAGATAATTGTAGTATTTTACTGCATCGTAGTACGAATCATACAGTACGAAATGAATATGATTTACCTGCGACAAAGACCTGTTAGTACGCCATTTAACCGAACCATAAATGACAGCAGCAATCAATTATTCATTGCACTGTTTTGTCCATTCACCCCACGCATATACATTATAGCCGTGTGTGCAGAATAATTTTCTTTCACAGCACTGGTCTGGACCATATCAAGTTCCATGGGAATAATCAGCCCGGCTGCGTCAGTGGCTTTATGTAATCGATTTGGTCATCGGAGTGTACTTATGGTTACTGGGATATGCTCTTCGATAGGTTTTGTAGCCTGTTCATTTACGACTTCCCTGGGACAAATATATTTTGTGTATGGAGTGTTTATAAGTAAGTATTAGAATATAAAATACTTCACATACATATGCTGCCATTATCAAAGTCACATAATGGCCTCTGAATCTATGGTCACACCGACACACGCACTTAATAAATCATCTGATTCTTTCTTATTATAGGTTTTATATATTGGATAGCAATATTCCCTGCATCTGCAATGATTGGTAAATATTTCTGCGAAAAAATGAAAATAGCAGCTGGAATAGCTATGTCAGGAGTTGGTGCAGGACAGTGTATATTCCCTATTCTAACGCAGGTCCTTCTCGACAATTATGGTTGGCGAGGGACGATGATAATCATAGGGGGTATTTCTTTACATTTCTGTTTAGTTGGGGCACTGTTTAACCTATAGACTATTATCACGGATTCAGAAAAACGCGTGTCGAAACATCAGACGGAATTTTTACCGATGCTGAGCTCAATACGGCCTCTGAAACAGCAGACAGCGTGACACATCATGCATTGGCGACAAGAAAGACCAGTATGCAAACTTGCTGCTTCACTGGATTGAAAAAGTGTCAGATATTGTTTAAGTTAATGTGTGACATATCACTCTTTAAAAATACAGTGTATGTGATAATGGCGTTGTCTACATTCGGTCATGCATCATCACAAAATGCTGTTATAGTTCACATGGTAAATATGTACAAATACTCGCATTAGGCTCATAGACATTCTATAATGTTACATTCCTTGACGTAGATATTCCTGGCCACTAGCGCCCGCATACAACAATAAGATATATGCATATCCCGTACCATACCCTATTTAGATATATGCATACCCCGTACCATACCCCCATTTACATATATCCATATCCCGTACCATACCCCATTTAGATATATGCATATCCCGTACCGTACCCCATTTAGATATATGCATATCCCGTACCATACACCATTTAGATATATGCATACCCCGTACCATATCCCATTTAGATATATGCATATCCCATACCATACCCCATTTAGATATATGCATATCCCGTACCATACCCTATTT